ATGAGCAAAGAAACAAGGACGTAACTCATGCTGGTACGGATTGGTGGCAAAAATGTGTGTGCGTCCTAGAGGCCAAATACAGCGGCGAGAATTACAGCCTCAAACTGTTTGGGGGTTTCAAGTAATGGGGACTAGATAAACATCAGGGTCCCAATCTAAATATTCTCCAAGTCCATCAAATGTGTCATGAGGACCTTCACAGTGCGTGATAACAATCATAATCAGTCTCCACATGCAGCCTTGTACTTACAACACATCTTCTTAATCGTCATGGTTTCCAGGACGATCGACCACGATAACAGAATGAGTTAATCTCCCAGAAGAGCAGGCTTTGATTGCTGTGAATGAGCCCAAGCTGCTGCTGCTGATAAAAGGTGCACAGACCATCGGAGTAGGACACGACGAACTACATCGGTATGAGATTGTGTCTAGCTGTCCCAGGCTCCTCAGTGCAGACCCTCACTTGACTTACAGTCTTCCACATAAATGATCCGACCAAGTTTCCAGCCAATGGCTGAGGCTGGTTGAAGAGATCAAACAGATGTACATTGGCTATACATACAGTAATAACTTCCCCCACCCTTTGCAATCTGTCCGCCTGCCTCTGATCTTTACCGTTATTGTACATAATCTCAAGAGCTTTGCTATTAAATGAGAATGTAGTTACAGTATATTTATTTACAGTTCATAGCCATAAGAGATCAAGTCAACATCAATTAACATACGTTAGTGATCTGTTGTTATCTTTTACATTGTACTACTAAGAATAACTTATTGTGTGAATCAGGATTTTTCTTTCACTAAAAAGTTAATTCAGTTGTCACCTTGGGAAACGACATAGTGTTGGATAATTTATACAATTTTTGGTGTTTTATTTAATAACCAATTTATTACATTGGCATTAATGGATGAAAATGATTGTTAGTTGACGCAAAAATTCAGGTTTTTGTAATATTGAGCAGTTAACCCACTTTAATTTGATAACAACAATACGACAAAATCTATTTAAAATTAACTACTAATTCATCTTGAGGTTAAAAAAAATGATTATATTTAAAGGTTAATATTAAACCTGAGGAACTGTGTCTTTTGAAATATGTTATTTAAAGGGTATCCGTGTTGCAGTTTGTGTGTGTCAGTCTGTAACTGTGTGCGGATGTCTGTGTGTCTCAGAGGATTATATCCAATGGTTGATTGTTTGGTGTGAGCTTTGCAAAGGGATCGAGATATAATCCCCTCTCCCCCCGCTCCGTCCTCCTCTCATACTACAGAGGCATATGAGGATGGTCATTGCTGCACTACAGTGCTGTCCTACACGGTGCCTTGTATGTCATATTTCACAAGTATGGATAGGCATGAATCCAAATAAGAATTGATGCATAGATTTCTTCACCAGAACTATTTACGTTTCTAATTGACTGAGGCTCCATTTACAGATACTTTTTATTTTTTCAAAGACTTAACTTCTTTGTTGTCGACACAGCTTACATCATTTGCAAATGTTCCTGAGCCTTTATTAACTCTGCCAAAGGGTTTAGGTTTGTGATGCTGTTTGTTTCTGCTTGTCAGCAGGATTATGAAAAACTACTGGCTTAATTCTCATGAGTTTTGGTTGAAGAGTGTAGCAGGGCCAAAGGATGAACCCATAAATGTTTGGAATGGATTGGGATCCAACTTATGAATAACAGTAATAGCAAATCTGAATTACATATCAGGTATACGAGATGAAATAACAGATCACAGAGTATTGTAGTTATCAGAGGTCTTTGCTGTCCACTCTCCTAATATGAAGTCTTCGATGGTTTCTGTTGATTGGAAACGATGGAGGTCGCCATAAGAAATTCACCATTGAAATTCTGACTCTACCGAACTTTAGCTTGTCAAGCTTGTTACAGACAAAGAGGTGTAAGGAAAGCAGGTCTTTAGACTCCTGGAAAACAGCTACACTGCATTAAACATACACCTGTCAGTCAACTCAGCCTTCAACAATGCAAAGCTATGTAATACTTGTATCCTTAATATAATAAAAAATGTATGAGTTACTTCTACTTGGAATGAGTTTATTCCAATAGATAAATAAGCTTTTGACACAGGCTGTAAACATGTGTATTCCTGCTTTAATAACACGGGACCTGATAGGGATTCCTTGGCTTTGGAGCTATACTGATACTAGCCAAAGAGGGTAAATTGTGACTTCATATTGCTCATACACAGGTGTTAATATCAAGTACATATCTAGTTTTGGCTCAGAGGGAGATTCTGTCTCTCTTCATGTTTTCTCTCAGTCACACATACAGACACATACAGCTGGGTTTCCTAATTCCTTCAACATATGCACAACTGCCATTAAACTCGTGTCTGGTTCATGGCTTTAGCAGATCTTTACAGCAGTAGTATGAACATGTGTGTATTAACTCTCTCGCTAAAGGTCAGCATCAATCACATGTGACAGCACTCTGTCTCACAGTGGTTGGAAGTGAACATGCATGAGTCAATAATTGTCTTACCAGGAAAATGTACAGCCCTGCAAGGTATATGTGGCTCTACTTTGACTGAGAGCAGGGAACAGATCACAGCACTCAGACTGTAATGGCTCTACAGCAGTTACATGTTTATTTAAAGATAAATATTATCTGAGGCAGAAGAAAGAAAAACAAACTGGCTGGCCTGGGAACCAGTGGATTTGTGATTTCATGGTTATCTCAGAGGCATACGGCTCCCTACTTTTCCGACTGATTTCCAATAGGTCTTTTTCACTGGACAAATCACAAAATTCAATCTAATAATGGGCGGGGCAAAAGGGTTTTAAGCACCAAACTTGATGCCAGTTCTTCTCAGTATGTACATTTGGTAAGTGTAATGATGTCTTGCTAAACCAAAAATCTATTAGGTAGAGGTGGAGTTGAGTAAATTCAATTTTGTGACTATAGCAACCTAGCCTAGGAAGGTTTTGCTATAGTCCAAAGAGAAATTACATTGAACAATTAAACTGTTGAAACAACCTATCAATTGCAAATTCAAAGAAAAACTAAAATATTCAGACAATCGGGAACCTCAAGTGTTGAAAATGGAAGCCAAAGTAGAAGTGCAAAAACAATGCAGTTCTTGGAGTCTACACTTACGGCTCGCTCTAAAATCCAACTAAGAACCATACGTCCCCAAATCGTTCCCATTTTCAGAGCAGAAATAAACACATTTACAGCCTGGCACAGAGATTTGTTTCGACCAGATATTTGGGGCATCAAGCAGCAAGTTAGCTACATTCTCAGGACTCTGTTAACATATTCAGTCGGTTAAATGAACAACTATAGTCAGTGACCAATATGAATAGAATCTCACTCTCTGGGAAACACAACAAGCTCATTGACCAGCTAATGAAATAGCCATGGGTGTCAACTGTACTGGTTTAACAAGATGATGTTTGCCAACCCGTCACTGCTTCGACACCAACTTCTCCTCCAATTATGGAACTAACATGGTGACTGCCTACTGAGCAGAACTTGAGGCTTTGAGACTTAAATGGGTGACACCATTGTATCCGTCACTTTCACTCTATGATCAGATGGCAGCAAGAAGATGAAAAAGCAATGCAGCATTTGAAAAGTGTTGCTGAAGGTCAAGATTTTTACAACGTACCATGAGAATTGTTCAACGATCATTCCAAACACATTGTGAAGGAGCTAGCTTTGAGGATTAGATGTAATGCTTATTTTAGAATTGATTATACATAACATTTTACATTGAGCAAATGTATAGTCATGTTTGTGGAATGTATAATTTAGTATTTGTAATTTTCAGTCGATGAAATTTACTTGACAGAAAAAGATGAATGACTGGTTTCAGTTTTAAATCTTTGGTCCAGGACCCTCTAAGGGGGCTGCTCTGAGTTTGTCAAAATGTGATATGCACACTCTAACTCAAATCATGACACCACACCGACTGGAAAGTTTAAACTACGGTCTTTTGGTAAGAAGAAGTATGTTCAGGCATTTTCTGTTGCTGTTTTATCCATGAAAACATTTACATATTCACAGCAATGTACCCACTTTTTTGTGGGTCTTGGGGGGGTCTCACCTTTTCTTTGATATAAGTAGGTGGGGGACAAGGAAAGAAAGTCTGGAACTGCTCTTTTAAAGGACTGAATAGTGTCTTAAAGGGAATACACATCTGTTTAACCATTTGTATATAAATCTCCAGTTAACACAAATGTTTCCTTTAAAATCAGGATCCATCAGACTTAGTCACTTTTTCTGGATAAATGACTGAATCAATAAACAAAAAATAATTTGTTTGAATAATTAAGGAGCAAATTGACTCAAACATTTTGGCAATAGATGGATGTCTGGCAAGAAATACAGAGAGGGAAATGCATCCAGAAACCTTCAGGGAATGCGTTTGTCTTTATTTCAGACATGGAGTGTGAGTGAGAGAAAACAGTTGAACGTGTGTGTGTGTGTGTGCTGGATCCTGTCTGCATCTGTGTGTGGGTCCACACATGTTAAACACATGCCCCCCCTCCTCTTGGACGATAATCTGAGTGTATTAATCTGTTGTTTGAACTCCTTAAGCACAGACTGTCTATCACATCTGCTCTCTTCACCCTTGTAAAGCTGTGTTATTTATAAACTTTCTCTTTCTCTTCTTCTTTCTTCCCTTTTTGATCCGCCATCACAATTTCTCTACCGCTCCAGAGCCCCAAAAACAACGCTGATAAGTCGCAGGATATAACAGGTCCCACATGTTGAAACAAGCAGATTTGAAAAAAAAAGTGGAAATCACCTTGGCAGGTAACTTTGCAGAACAAAATTAATTTACTCACTCCAAAGACAAAAATCTTAAAACTCAATCTCCCAGAAATGACACATCATACAAATATTAATAAATGATTTTTAAACAAAAATAAAAGCAGTATGGAGACGTCTCACATGAAAGTTTGTCTGCAGTGTATGAATGGGAGCTCACGGAGGGAGAGACGACAACAAGGAGGAAACCACGCTTACCTGCTGCGCGTCGCTGTCTCCCATCCGACAAGAGCGAGCATCGGGAGAGAGACGGCCGAGAGGAGGGATGTGGAGATGACGAGGGAGGCGAAGTCACGGTCTTTGCGTCATCTGAGAAAATTTGCAGATTAATACAACAGCTTGGTGCTCTGAGCCCCCCCCCCCTGTCACAACATCCCTCCCTCCCTTTCTTTCCCTCCCTCATTCACTCACTTCCTCTCCATCACATGCATATTTTACTGCCTTATTGAAAGTAAACTGGGAGCAGAATTAAAAAGTGAAACTATTTTTTTAAAGGAATAGTTTGCAAAATGCATCCTCTTAACAGAGGAGGACAGGGACTTTCAAATACCCTCCCTTCCACAGGAGGGCGCTATGACACTTCACTGGGCGAGGAAATGAGTTCAGCGGGGATCCTTTGACAGGTATCGGTGTCAGTCAGCGAGGCCTCAAAGTGCAGGGAGGCCCGTAGGGTGAGCTGCTACATACTGAGCATACATGCGGTGATCTGGCTGTTTCCATGAACCGTGACACTTCATCAATCCACAGAATTAGAAATATACTGTAAAAGAAGCGGAGCAGTTTCAGGTTTGTCATACCAGAGATGCTCGGAGGAAGAATGTGGGCCTATTATTGAGCTTTATGAGGAGGTCGGGATTGATTTATGAGCGCAGCTTCTCAACTATCAAATCTGACGTTGTGCAACGACGTGACTTTGCAGACATCAGACAGCCTGACTCTCCTGAGGATGCCAAACTGCAAACTACATTTTCTCACCTCTCAATTCCATATTTGATCACTTCAGGCATTGTGGCTGGTTCAAACTTATTCTCAATTAAACCATATTCTTGTCCATGTGAGTACAAACTGCAGCCCATTTTCAGATATTTTGATTTCCATCCACCAAGAGATTCCTATCCTTATAATCTTCTCTCTTTCTCTTTCCAGCCGCCTCGATGTATCCGCACCGATGGTGAATTTTGTATCTTGTGAGTTTTCTGTCCTCTCCCAGACTCTATTGTGGGAGAACTTCAGGTCCCTTTGGTGTCTACATCCTCCAGCATCCGTATTCTCCATGCATGTTT